TGGCTCCCACCTGTAACCCCAGCACTCTGGGAGGCCAAGTTGAGTGGATTGCTTGAGCTCAGGAGTTCAAGACCAGCCTGATCAAGAGCAAGACCCCATCTCCACTAAAACTAGGAAAAAAAAAAAAAAAAAGAAAGAAAGAAAGAAAAAAAGTAGCCCAGTGACTTGGCAAAGCTACAAGTCTCAGCTACTTGGGAGGCTGAGGCAAGAGGATCTCTTGAGCCCAAGAGACTGAGGTTGCTATGCGCTATCATGACACCATGGCACTGTAACTAGGGAGACAGAGTAAGACTTTGTCTCAAAAAAAAAAAAAGAAAGAAATATATATATATGAGCAAAATGAATCCAACAGTGACCAAGTGAGATTCATCCTAGTGATATAAAGGTGGTTTAGTATATACAGATTAGTAAACGTGAAATACTATTATTAGCAGAAAAACAGAAATTACATGACCATTTCAACAAAAAAGCAAAAAGCATTTGAAAAAAGAAAAACATCGTTTCATGATTAAAAACTTTCTAGAAATTAACTACAGACGTTATTAACCTCAACACACACAAAAAGGCCATAAGAAAACCCTACAATTAACATGAATAGGGAAAACCTAAAAGCTTTTCTCTAAGATCAGGAACAAGATAAGAAAGCCTATTTTTACTACTGTTTACTACTGTAATTCAATATCGTACTAGAAGAAGTCCTGTCAGAGCAATTAGGCAGCAGAAGGAAATAAAAAGCATCCAAATTGGAAAGGAAAAAGTTCAATTATCCATGTTTGCAGACAACATGATCTCGTGGATAGAAAACCCTGAACATAGTGGAAGGAATTGTAAACACAGGATTCAATTCCTCATTGTTTCATTATTATGTCTGGGAACAAATAATGTAGACTCTCTACCTAAATCTCCTGTTAGTAAAATGAAACAATTTTGTTCAATGAGCTGTAAGGTTTCTTATATTTTTGAAGTACAACTAAGATTCTTTGTTTTTGCTTCCGTAAATATTTCTTAACTCACTGGCTCAGAATGCTGCATGCAGTGTTCTGATTCTGGCCATGCTCAGCTTTACTTAGTTAGTAAAATAAATTAATTAGGTGCTCTCTAATTGCGGTAGCCATAACAAAAATCAATTGAAAGTCATTAAGAGATCATAATTGCACTTAAGCAGGCTCTACTATAATTTAAAATTTGTGTTGAATTTATGGGAACTTTGAATAAACTCTCTATTAATTTTAGAAAGATTTAGCAGTTGTAATTATCATAGCTGTATAACACATATTTGCCACAAGAATATAGGAAAAATTTTCAAATATAGTGAATAAACAAGAGCAGAAGAAAAAAATATAAATTTCTGAATATGTTCATTAAAACATAAATATATCATATATATGTAAAATTTTAAGTTGCAAAACATGACACTCAGATGAAGCAATCACGGAAAGAAAATTTTCTTGGCAAATGTGAGTTATGGTTTGATCAAGTGTGAACCTGATCTATATGTGAAGAAGAGTCATTAGGGACCCAGCAGGAAACCAAATCATAAGCATATTCAGGGGCCTGACCATGTAAGATGTTTTAGATTAGGGTCAGAACCACAAGTCTAAATTAAACCTTAACTTAAAGAAATACTCATCAATTTAAAGTAGGACCACCTGCAATTCAGATGGGAGCAGCTGTTGATATGTGTGATATGTTCTAAAACTGACTAAAAGAGCAAAATGACAACACAGATAAAAGAAATTACAAAAGAGCAAAAAGATGGGATTTGTTGTTGTTTGTTGTTAACAGAAGTGATTCTATTTAGAGCAATAGTTTCAAACCCACTGCAAAAAACAACTTATCAAATAGGAAGGCCTGAAAATAGCATTTTGATTTGGTGCATATGTTGTATTTGTTAAGCTGAAACGAGAGGGCTAGAAAAATATATTTATTATTTTGATCAATTCTTGCAGCCATTCTTTTGAGATATTATGAGAATGCACGGATAACATGTATCCATTTCTTACCTTTAGGTTTTTGTAGGATATCATTATTCTCTTGCTATAGGCATCACAATTTACCTGATTCTATTATTGAAACTACCGATCCTTTTTAATCATTTCACAAAACTCAATGCAAATAACAGATTTAAAATCTGGTTACATTTACAAAGGTCCAAACTTGGCCAAAATTATATTTTAGATAGCGTGGGATATCTCCAGTTTTTATTCATCTGGAAAGAAGTAGCAGGAAATTTTAAAACTTTAAAATTTAAAACTATCATTCATAGTTGACCACCTCCCTACACTAACCACCTGTTTCAATTGACCTCATTTTCATAGAGCAGACATGCACCATATAGACATACCAGTACAGTAGGCCTAGTTCTTTATGTTAACTACCTCCACATGTTGACCAGTTTGGCACTGTCCCTTTGGTGGTTAATTTACAGAGGTTCTACTATATATAAGAACAGGAAATAAAATATAACTATCATGACACACGTATTCCATATCATTAGATATGCAGGAAATGTGAATTAAAACCACAATGAAAGACTCCTACAAATACACAAGAATACCTAAAATTAGGACAGATAATGCAAAGTGCTAGTGAGGATGCAGAGCAACTGGGACGCCCAGGAATCGCTGGTGGTTACAGAGAACAGCATCATCCCTCAGGAAACCTGGCATTACACTCTCAGAAGTTAAACTTGCATGATAATATAACTCATCAATTTCCTCTTAGATATTTACTGAAAAGGATAGAACTGTGTTTCCACATAAGGAGCTGTTCGTGAATGTTCAAAGCAGCCCAAATCTAGAAATAGTGTTCCATTAAGCCTTGAATGGAAAAAATTGTGGTTTACCCATATCATACAATAATTCCCAGAAATTAAATAGAATATAATACTGAGATACGCAAATGGATATTTTAGAGAAAAATTAAGCTATAATGATAGAAAGCGTAACAGTGGTTGCCTTGGGTTGCGGGAGGAGATGGCTAGGAAGGTACACAGGAAAATGCACTTGATGCTAGAAAGGTTTTTCATCTTAATGTTGATAGTCTTTCACAGTGCCTATCATAATTAACACTTACCCAGTTTTCGCTTTAAATAGGAACGTTTTTCTTTACGTAATTTAAAACTCAGTTAAGTTAGGAGCAAAACTGCTTCACGTGCTTTACTTCACGTGAATGAAAATAGGAATTTTCACAGGTGAGACTTCAAACATACAGACTTGAATACATGCGTAGATACTAATGACCTCACGGTGAACCTAGACAGATCATCCTATTGTACAAGAAATAATTATCAGAGTTCAGGCTTAGTTTTTGTTCTGTTTTATTTGGTTTTTGTGTTAAAGATAGGACTTTAAAACTCACTAAAAACCAAATTTATTAATATTCACTTATATTGAAAAAAATCTGTTAAGCCTTTTTCCTCCAGATGTGGTTTCTTATGAACTTCCTGACAAGAATCAAAAGGTTATTTTTAATCCTAATAAAGGAAAACACATTTTCATGTAAAAATAACTAGTCTTAAATCAACCAGATAATGCACTTGGAGTGGAGAGGAATAATCACTTTATCTTTTCACAGCAATATATGTTCTTTCAGTCATAGATTTTTAAATGATCCAGAACCTATTTAATTTGGGTACTTTTATACCAATGTTTAAGAAGTGAATGCATTAAGATAAAGATTCTCAACAACTCACAATTATCTCATATCATTGTGGAAAATGGTAACAGATCCTTCAAAACAAAAATCCAGAAAACTGTAAACACAAAATGTCTATTTCTTCTATTCCCAAAACTTTAACAAGAGATTCCACTAGAATTCAAAATTAGATTTCAAAATTTGCTAATTTGTCCTCTACATTCTTTTCTTTCCCTGAATTGGTATAAAGGAAGTTTAAATATGCAGAAAAACATCATCTCCAAACTGCTATTTAAAATATATATGACATATATATGTATCATATAAGTATATAAGTAGATAGCTACTCAGACAAAAGTTTATCAGTATCTACAGTAGACATATTTTGTTATAGTAGACAAAAGAAAGTAAAAAAATTTCATTTTTTTGAGAACTTAAGTCTTTCGGATATTTTCAGAGCATTCTTCATTCATTTACAAATGTTGATTAAACACCCACTGTGTATTAAGCACTGGGTTATACATTATTAAAAAGAATCAGCTCCTACTGTCAAGAGGCTTATGGTTCTAGTTGGTCTTTTT